GCGCGCGTAACTTGACCGTAAGTTTTTGTGCTTCAACTTCAGCGTAAGTGCCGGATACCGTAGATAGCTGATGGTGAGATGAATGATGCGTCAGGCTGACTTGTACTCAATTCTCAGTCTAAAAATTCCTTTAATTTAAAAGCATTTGGCACGATAATTTGGTATTCGGTCTAAAATGCTAGCAGGGTGCTATATAGTGGGAAAATGGCGAAAAACGAAGTGAAACGGTCAAAAACCTGCGAAGAAAAGCCTTCGTTCTTAATGACTCAGAAAGCAATTTCGGACGAGTTTCCCGTAGGCATCTTGCCAATAACCGCACGGTAGATACGGCTGCACGTATGTACTCATATATCCATGCAGCACCGCTATGACTTCATATCAACTCCTTCGCTTTACAGTTCTCTTCACAAATCAAGTACTTGCATCAGGTACAGTCGTCCATTTGTGGGCGAGTGGCGCGGTGTGCGTTCGGGTCGCATATTGCAGCCTGATAAAGCCCTATAAGGGTGCCTTCTTGGGGAAGGCGCTACCTAGGGCCTGCTCAGGGGCGCGGAACTCCGTCCTGTGGGCGTATTAATCCCACTCTTCCTAAGGATTTATCGTGCCAAGTGCCTTTGAAGCAACAACGAAAGAGCAAAATCTTTCCCCACAAAATAACCGGGTGCAGGGGAGGCGCCAAATGCGACTTCTCCTCCCTCCCATACACCAAATATACAACCAGGTCCCAAATCCTTTGCCGGCCTCTGGAATAGTTGCCGCCTCTTGCTGACATCACATCGCTTATTTATTTCTAAAAATATCAGGTGGTCTCTGAAGAAGATCTCCCCTCAAAAACGTTCATTTTAAAGACATGAAAAGTAGAAATCGATTAGGTTTCTCTCAATGTTGGTCTATCGCAACGGGGAAGTTAATGAATAAATCCCATTTTGTTGTGAAACTTTCACGAAGAAGTTCGATCGTCTAGTCATCCACAGGCCAATGATACGTGACACATGAGAGTGTTTTGCTTATAAGTGCAGTACAATCAATATTTGCCCAATCGATATTGTCTTATTGTCTTAGTTGACATTAATTCAAATTAGGTATAATATTATTCAATTCAGAGCATGGAGAACTCTGTTATTCATCGTACCGCGAAAGACGTGCTTAAGGTACGACAGTTTGCTCTCGGTCTAAAATGCTATCAGAGCGCTATAAAAAGGGGGGGGGAATGGCGAAAAAATGAAGTGAAAATGCGTCAAGAACGTGCGCAAGGAATACCATTCGTTTCAGCTGACTAAGAAAGCAGATTTTGGGCGGAAGTTTTCTCGTTCGGATCTCGCAATAACAGCTACGGTAGGTACGGCTGCGCGCATATGCTCGTATATCCGTGTTGCACCACGGCCACTTCTTATCACTCCCTTCGTTTCAAATTCTACTTAGCAAATGAAGCAATATGAGCATCAGGTACGGTCGTCCATTTGTGGGCGGGCGGTCGGTATGTTGCCAGCTTGGATAGGGCCTTATAAGGCGTACCTGCGCTTAGAAGGTGCTACGGCACGCTGCTCAGGGGCGCGACCACACCATGGATTTCGCAGACACCCGACTGTGAATATATTTTAACACTCAATAAAAGGAAGCAATGTACAGCAGGCCTCAGCGACCAGAAAGAGCACTATTAAAGTGGGCGAATGTGATAGCAACTTGACGCGACCGGAGGGAATGAGCGCTGAATGATATCCTTCTACATTAATTAGCCATATCTTTCTGAACGATTGTCTGTCGGTAAATTCGTAGCGCTCGTCGCAGCAACAGTGGTGCGTTGGTTCCAAACAGGTCAGGGCAATTCACGTCATACGCTGGAAAATCTTCAGCGGGGTTGTATTTGATCGCTAGAGGGGAGGGGGACGTCTTTATCTGAAAAAACTTTGATAGTTGATGTTCCCTGTTTGACACGCGCTGTACACATCGTTGCGAGACTCTCACTGTGTGGGAGGGAGGAGGATCGTATCGGGCCTTGAAGGCATAAGGCACGAGAATTTGGCGCTCGGTCTTAAATGGCAACATGGGTGCTATGCAGTGGGTAAATGACGAAAAAGCGAATTCAAACGGTGAAAAACTGCGGAAGATGCCTTTGTTCTACACGACTCAGAGAGTGACTTTGGACGAGTTTCCCGTTGGCATCGTGCCAATAACTGAGGACTACTACGGTAGATACGGCCATAGTATGTACTCATACATCCCTGCAGCAGCACTGCCACTTCTAATCAATCCCTTTCTTCTATTGTACTTAGCAAATGAAGCGATACGAGCACCAGCATTGCTTGGACATTTGTGGGCGGGCGGGCGCGGTGGGGAGCCGGGTCGGTATAATGCAGCTTGATGGGGCGCTCTAAGGGTACCTCGCTTGGGAGAGGAGCGACGCGGCGCTTATAAAGAGGCACTCAGGGTTCTCTCCTACTAGGGTTATAATCCTACACGTCTTAGGGATCTGCCTTTAGAAACTTTAACTTCTCGTGGATCTTCCCGTTTAAAGAGTTTGGTATGGAGAAGGAGGGACGTACCAGAGAAGGAAGCTTGGGTGGATTTTACTTAGCAAGAATTTTCCCCTTAACAGGACGTCGTTCAATAGGGGGTACAGCGAGAACATTATTGGTAGGTAACACAACTCACAGGACCCAATAAGAGGGGCCAAAAAGTTCCTAGCGCAAGTCGAAGCAACAATGGAACTAGCCGCCGCAGGTCTCATGTCCTGTGAGTTCTCCTCGATAATCATGGGCTACGTATGATGCAGCAACAGCGTTCGTTGGGCAAATTGTTATCAAATAAAAACTAGTAAAGATAAATGGTGATAGGCTGAAAATTACCGAATATGAACGACCCGTGACCGAGGTGTACTGGAAGAAGCTGAGCAGTGCGTAGGGGCGGCTATCTAAAGAATCGTTCGACCAAATAAATAATCGATCGATATTCCATAAAATCACCAACTTGTGCAAGTGGTTGCCCAGCCAACAGTTGTGCCGTAGTGAGACCGTTCATCTGGCTAATATACTGCGAATATAAGGCTGTAGGATCAAGTTTCGCCTGAATAGCCGTATAGAATTGTCGATTGAATGGAATTCATCGGTGGTTAAAAAAGAAATCGAATCGATTCCATTTCTATACGGAGCTGAATATCAAGAGCTGCATGCAAAAAGCTAGGAGGCACGGAGAATTTTTGATTAGCCGGCTGCCCCCAAATTGATAGTGACACAACCACGAGAAAAATTTTGTAAGAAGTTAATCTAAGCTGTTCATCGACCCCTATACCATTAACTTGAAATGTCCATCAACCTTTACATTTCTAACAGTCCATTTAACCTCGTCCATGTCCATGAAAAAAATTAATCTATGAAATAAAAAGATATCACTCGTTGGACATTCTTATTAATGATGAATTGGCTGGCGCGGCGTTTGAGTAATAAATTTGAGGGTTCTATAAACCTTTAGATCAGTTAAGAAGGTAAAAATCGAGAGTTAGCTTAGAAAAAAAGAATCCTCGTAGTTTGTATTTCCTCCTGATAAAGGAAAATGGAAATTGGAAATTAAAAAATCAACGGTCACGTCATCAGACCAAAAGAGACCATCATCACTTTCAACCGGTGCAGTTCAGAGGATCCGTCTCGGCTCCATGCACCTATTAGCTTATTAGCTAGTTGTCTTGAGATAGCACTATGGCACCAGCTTTAAATCAATTTGGATTATTGGAAGCTTTACGTTCCAGATACCGTAACACTTGACGGCCCAATCGCTCGAACATTCAATAATCCCTACTGGACCGGCGACTCTTCTCGTTCCAGCTTCAAAGTAAAGTCCGGAAAAAGTAGTGGTAGTGAGAATTCCGGGGGCGGAGTTGCAAAATTCTCCATCTAACATCAAGAACGGGTCTCCAGCCCCGGACTGCTCCCAGGCCTCTAACCTGCTCCCTTTGTAGATTGGCGCAAAAGTGCTAACATTTCTTTACATTACCACTGGTTCTGACGAAACAGCCCTTCGTGCCTCCCTGCAGTTTACTACTGCCCGTATTGATGCGGAACCACTAATAGATGGAAAATGTATGACAGTCATTTTTGAGACCTGGAAAGAAGCAGTTACTGATTATCAAATTTTGAGATAATGGGGCGAATAATAGGTATAGGACGTGGACGCTTCTGACCTCCACTTGTTCGCTGCGTATGCTGGGGCGGGCCAGAGGGGGCTGGGTTTGGCGCGCTGCCAGCCCAATTTCCACTAGTTGCTGTCGCTTGCACCTTCAAGAACTGGTGGAGAACAGGTTGAAGCCGCGCCAAACCCAGCCAGTCTGACACGCCCCAGCATCTGCAGTGAACAAGACCATAATTCTTTTGACGCTAAGGGGGTGCGTCGAACCAATTAGCTACGAAACTAGCTGATTTGCGCGTGATGCCGCGACTAGGAGTCCATAAAAGTACGGAAACTAGGCTGATTGCGCGTGATGCGCGACTAGGATCTCATAAACTACACCTGTTAGGAACTATTTTGTTAAACCAACCTTTTTCGGTTCCGAATCTACAGTCATCACTGGCGCTAGGAAGGTTCCATGTATCGACGACAACAGTTCGTCAGGGCCTCTCTGAAAACATCTCTGATTATTTACTGTTATAAGCAATGAGAGAGTAAAAAAAATCTGACAGGATTCATAGGTTTCATTTCGAGAAATCATTTCAAGAGGAGGTTTTGGAGAGGGAAGTGTTCCCGAGTAGGTCATTCACTTGAGACGAGATGGGAGGCAGGATTTCGTGCTGGCGTCGCTTTGCCGTTAAGCAATGCTAATTGGAAAATTGAGACTAGGCACGCTGATATGTGCGAATCGGAAAGACGAGGCGACTCGAGGGGGGATGAAGAGCGTCTGCATGCAACCGTTGAGTTTCCTAACAATTCCATATAGTACTGCAAATCGACGAACCCCATTCAGTATACGCCAACAACCACCTATATATATATTCGATTGCAACAATAGTAATTAGGCCTATCCTGCTTATCTTCCTATGATGTCACCATTGTTGTACCAATGCATTTTCCAAGAGAATGTCATCCGGTTAGTACGAGCCGGATGCCATTTGTGGGTTTGTGTGTGAGTGTGTTATAGAGGTTAGTAGAGATGCAGGAATTAAGAAACTGAATAGAACAATGAATTACACCGCTCAAAATGACCGGTCTATATACTTCTAGATCAGTAATGGCGGTTGTTATTGTAAACAAAAGTTATATTCGCGGATAGGGTCTTATTGTTAGGACCGCTCACGCTTGACCTAACAATTGGAATAAATCTTGACTAGTGGGGAGGGGTCGCTTATTCACATAAAAAAAGCAATATGAGGCATTTCTATTGACTGGTGCAGTTATGGAAAGCCGAATTCGTGTGCTTGCGCCGATCCGTTGCTCTAGAGTGCCAAGAAAACACCTTTGGAGGAATAACAGACGTCTGTGCGCCGCATTGTCAGAAAATCCACCTAGACCTGAGGGATTAATTAGGCCCCCTCTCTTGTTAAGGCTCACTTTAGAATATATTGTATCGTCCTTTATACAGCTCGTACACAGAGGATTTTCCGCTAACTAGAAGTAATGCAGCCTCCTAAACGTTTGAATCGCTTGAGAACAGCCATTCTCGTAGAGGTTTCCGTGCGCGATTGATCGTCTTCGATGGCCTATTTTTTGATTAATTGCATAGTAATGAGGTAATATGAACAGTCGTGTCCTGATCATTGCCAGGCTCCTCATTCTGAGAGACAAGTAGGTGGAACACGCTGGTGACGGTTGCGTGACTGTCCACGTGACTCCGCCCATACGTTTAGCGTAGAATCAGGAACGTTCGTTAGAAACGGATCCCGCCGAAACCCCACGCCAACTCTGTTGTCTTGTGAACCCAAAGGGTTTCGAACTCTTCGAAGGACAATTTTTAGTAAGCGATTGGAACTCACTAGTGATTTCTTTGCTAGGACGGTGCAAAAACTACCACTACTGCATCTTGACTTCGCCACGGTCTACTGCAAGCTGTCCCTGTCCAGTGAGGACAGAGCATCGAAATTTGAAATGGTGAAATGGCGGTATCAGAACCCCCCCTCCCCGCTAATTTCTTGATCTAGCACGTCCATACAACCTCTCTAAACCTTGCCAAATTATTCCAACTCTACCGGTTTTCCACAAAATTCATCCTCGTCCCTCCCACCCGATACCCTGATGGGATTTCTCCAGTACCCTGCCAGCTAGGCTGGTTCAGCAGAAAACTAAAGGCGAACCAATTCCAGGGAAATAGGCTTCTAAAAAAAGGACCGGACCGAGTCAGCTAGTCGCTTGCACGCACAACGCAGCAAACGATCAGCTGACTCACTCCCAAGTTAGAAAAGAAAGCCGTAAGTGCTGAAAGCTGACCGATTTTACTTGTACTAGTAACGCCGCTCAAAGCTATCGGAACTCACTCCCAGCTTGAGAATCTGACAATTCTACAAGCCCCTGTAGACAGGGCATAGCATCGTATTGTGTGAAATTGTGGTGCCACTGTGACCACCACC